TCTCTCTCTCTCTCTTTGTGTTACACTTGTGACGATGAGGTTGGGAAGTGGGAGCCATATACGAAGACGTTATGGCCGTATTGTGTCGTAAGTGGCACCCACTTCCCAACCGTGTTCAAATCCAGGGTTCGTTGTGTGTTTGCTGTTCATATTGCATTCTCTCTCTCTCTCTCTCTCTCTCTCTCTCTCTCTCTCTCTCTCTCTCTCTCTCTCTCTCTCCTCAGGAAAGCGTGTCGGTCGTCACTTGTTCTCACGAATGTCCATCATGTCTGTTGTTATAGATGGTCGTTTCAAATGTGTCGACAACCGTAGCGGGTGAGAGTTTTGCATCTACGACTGAAAACCTGCAGCAACAGGTATCGAACATCATGTTTGGAGAAGGCGCTAACAAGTTGTGCGTTGTGAATCGAAGGAAACGATACGAGCCAGAGACGCACGTTGGAATTAGAAACTGAGGAATTGTTGGATGCTATTTGCGAGCATGCAAATGTGGACGTGGAAAAAGGGGAGGAAACGAATTTGAGTACGATATCAAACACTGCAATGTACAAAGTTTCTAAAATTGCACAGTTCCCAGGGACTGTGTCATAAAGACTATAGCAGGAAACGAATTTGAGTACGATATCAATTGGGAACCTGGCAAGGTGCAACCAGGGTTGATCGGTGCTCAACACTGCATCGCTTTTAAGAGTGGTGACACATGGGTTCCGTATCGTCCGCGAAAATTAGAGACATAACGTTATATCACGGCAGCCATTGTTTTCAACCGAGTGAAAAGTATAAACGGCGGGGTGGCGGTTGAGGGTTTGGTCAAATACACAAATGTCCTTACTAAGAGATTGACAGACAAGGGGGAGATACGACTGAATGATTTTTTTAATGATCGTTATGAATCGACCGAGCAATGGGTGGTTTCTGAAGACGGAAGAGGCGGGGATGAAGTTTGTGAGGATAATGATGCAAGACGGGATGCACGGKGGGGKTSGRKGCCGTCAACCATTCCTTGTGACTATGGGGAGATTATGATTTTAGTCCGCGATCTAATGGGGAACTGTTGGAGTACAGTTTACATAAACGGCGAGTTCATCTCTCGTTGTTTGGACAGGGATCTGCTGGAGTCCGAGAAAGTGTTTATGGGCATCGATGATGCCGCGGGAACGCAATTCACGATCCTGCTTGAAAACCCGGTGTTGTCACCAATGATAGAGGGGAAAGTTTTTTCTGGGGAGGATAACATTTGTCTGCGACATGTAAGAGGTAGTGAAGTCACTTATGATGGTCTGTTCATTAGCATATGGGACCCGGATATCACAACGCAGGAGAGGGTGCGTGACATTGACAGATTCGGAACTGTTATTCCACAGCGTGAGTTCAACAAACATTCATCGACTGAGATGTACGGTTAATATGTGAATTGGGTACCCGGTGTCTTTCATCCTGCCATCTTCGAAAACAAAGTTACGATGGCAGGCAGACTGCATTCAGGCGAATGGCTACGTATGGGTTGGATGCCTTCGGGATTTGTTGAGAATTGACAATTCATGGTTGTTCTGGCTCGTTTGTCGTTGTGCAATTCTAGGGTGAACGACAAATCATTATTACGCGAGCATGCAAAGATGTGTTGGGATAAAATAAAGGTGGAGGACCGTCAAATGTTATTGGTTGGATATGACGGGCGTGAAGACGAGAGTATGTGGTCATTGTAGGGCGATGGTGTGGGCACAACATCTTTGAATGATACACCTCATAATTGTCTGAGGCTCATTCGTCGCAGACACGGGCGGGCAACACTTCTTGGATGGGTACCCGTTGTGTGTCCCATGCCTTATGCGTGTGGGGCCGACGCCTCGATGGTCTTCAGAGACCCTCTCGCTATTCCGTTTTTTATGACGTACTCAGATGGTTTTCTACATCACATTCTGTACATGCCGGCGGAGGACATGGCAGACAGCGATGATAACAGGGGCATTTCAGAACCTCATATTGCACGCACAATACAACCGGCATGTAAGGTAAATGGACCGCCTGCAAACATGGACGTGGCATGTGCTGCAAACAGACCAGCTGAAGACACAGATGCGGGATGTACTGTTGTGGACAAGAGCAGACCACCAAGCGGCACGATAGACAGCGATGGTAGCTGGAAGATTGGACGAGGAATGAAGCGGAAGGCCACAAGCAGAAGAGACAATGGGGGAACACCGACGCTAGCACAGAGGGAGACGGGAGGAAATGGGAAGGGGGGAAGACCACCAATGGCACGTGGACGAGGGAGAGGACGGGGGAGGGGGCAGGGAGGAGCAACAATGGATGGCCCGGGGGAAACACGAGGGAGAATTGGTGGAAGCGAAGGGGTTCAGAGACGCAATCGCCGACCTGGAGAGGCTGCTGTGGCAGAATGCGCCGGTTGCAACGCATCACAGACCCTTGCATCGCTTACAGACCATTTGTAAGGCTAGTGAACGAGATTGTGCAGAAAGAAAAAGTTGCAACAAAACCAATGCGGTTCCAGATGCTTGCAATTTGTGCACTTCTCGAGGCAGTCGGAGCTTATCTCGTGCATTGGTGTGTCTTTACAAAAGGCATATCGGATAAGAAAGAAGTAGTCAGACAAAGACAAGAGAGTAGGAGGGCAACTGCTAATGTCGCAAACACAGAACAAGCAGTGCACGAATCCGCATAATAGTCGGATTGTGGGAAGGGCAAGGGGACGTTCAAGAGGAAAGGAAAGTCAGTGAAAAGCACCACGATAAAAAAAAACAAAAAATGATTATTTTCTGATAGAACTTGTGTGTGTGTGTGTGTGTGTGTTATATATGTGTGTGTGTGTGAGTGTGTGTGTGTGTGTGTGTGATATATATATATA